CTGCAAGCAACCACTATAAGAGTTGGAAGTTACTGGAAGAGAAAGGATAAGGTTTATAGAGCAAGATAACGATTGACAGACAACTTAAAAGATTGCAAATTATATAAATCAGGAAAGCAAGATGAAGAAAACATTTTCCAATAAACTGATGTTTGAGAAAAAAAACTATATGAATGAGTTTTTGGAGCACTTGGGAATAGTTACAGAAAAAGGATGAGGCTTAATTGATTGACGAGTAACACAAGAATAAATTTGACAGATTTGAGATTTATGAAGATAAAGAATAGAATCCAGAGTAAGAAAGTGTCGAGCTCAATAAAGAGATGCCACCTTAGCAGAATCTAATTTTGCAATAGATTTGATATATGGTTTCCAAGAAAGATTGGAAGTAAGAATTAATCCTAGAAGATAAAGGGTAGATGACTTATCGAGTACATTACCATTCATAAATATAGGAAGATCTAAATTATTGCAGCAAAGAAGATCTAAATTATTGCAGTATCTGAGTTAAAGTTTACCAGCCACTGCAAGCCCCATACTGTAGCAGAAGTGAGATCCTTTTCAAGCTCAAACGCCCCTACCAAGCGAGCATAAAGTGTTGGCTTTTTATCAAAACAAGAATAAATGGTAGTATTAACTAATTGGTAATTGGTTGTATTAATATAATTACTGAAACAGAAAAAAAAGTTACATCATATTTTTCTGTGAAAAATCAAAAGGAAATTATTTTACAACTAGCTTCTAGAGTTTTACATACAATAGTAAGTACTATTAAATTATCAAAATAATTTTCCATAATGATAGATTCTACACCGGATTTACGCAAAAAAGACTAGTTGTCCATTATTATTCATTATGTTAAAATAGCAGACAAAAAACCTAGTATTCAAGAAAGTTTCTTAAGCTTTGTAAATATGTCATCAAGTGGAGAAAATTTTGCAAATGTTCTTATTGAGGAATTAGAAATACTAGTAATCAAAATTGCTGATTGCAGAGATTAGTTGTATGACAATGCAAGCAATATGAAAGGAGAATATAAGTGAGTGAAAAGTCAAGTTTTTAGAAGTCAATAACAAAGCATGGTATACACTGTGTGATGGACATAACATCAATTTAGTTACAAATGTGTGGTAAAAATATTATTAAAAGTCAGAGTTATTTTACTACATTAAAAATTTATACAAGATGTTTGCTGCATCAATAAAGCAATAGGCTATTCAAGTAAAATATTTAAAAATTAATCTGATGGTGCCAAGCAATACTCGAGGAGAATATCACTTTAAAAGTATAAAGCCATGAAATACCAGATAAAAGATAATAGTCATGCACTAAATGAACTTAAAAATAACCATCCAGATTGTAAAATATGCTGCATTTTTAATAAAACAAATAAACTCTTATGAATTAGTTGTGCTCACAACAATTTGGTATCAGTTGTTATCAAAGCTTCACATTTTTAGCCATTTGCTTCAGAGATAATAGCATACAAAGGCTATGCTATTATTTCTTGATAATTTCAAAACCAATGTTTTACAGATTAAAAAAGAAGCATCAGTAGATATAAATGCTATAGCACAGCTCACTGAACAGTCTTCTAGTGATATCTTTATATTAACATGTAGAAACAAAGATTTTTTTGATAAATCACCAGAACCTAGTTTATCATTACCGGAGAAACTAGTTAACCATTACTCTCACCAGAACATAGTTTACCATAACCAAAACGGAGAGTACGTAATCTCAAGAGATTGGCAGACTATTGTTATTATACAGACCATAAAAAAAAAGCAAATGAAAAATATTACAATATTGATGATATACCAAATAAAGAAATTGAACCAGTAGACAATGAAAATAGCCAGTAGACAATGAAATTGATCCAATTGAATGTTGTGATGATATTGATATATGTGATCTCGTTTCTCAAATTGATGATGAATATAACCATCTAACTCAAATGGCTAAAAGATAATTTTAAATAATCTTATTTTAATAAACTAATTGATAAAGTAAAAGATCGCAAGAATGATTTGAATTAAAAAGAATGATTTGATTTAAAAAATCTAATTTTTTAAATCAAGTTTTTGGTTTTTTTTTCAATAATAAAAATCTAAAAACTATGAACACAAATGAATTCAATACTAATTGTTCAAATCTGGTCAAACACTTAGAAAATGAAGAGGAGGAATTCAAAAATGAACTTTCTATTTTAAGATACATTTTAGAAGATAATTATACTATTATAGAGAATTTGGAGCTCATTTTAGAAATATATCCAAATGTATGTATCATATATCGAATAATTTTAACAATACCCATTACTGTTGCTTATTGTGAAAAATCATTTTCAAAATTAAAACTAAAAGAATAAAAGAATTTCAGAATTAGCAATACAGTTGATAGAAAATACAACCACCAGAACAATTGATTACAATTATATAATTGATGAATTTGCAAGCAAAAGGGCTATGAAAATTGATTTATAATTTCTTTGCATAACTTTTTTCTAGAACTAAAAACCAATAAAAATGAATTTAATAAAGTTGAAAAAAAACATAATGCACAATTTAAAAAATTTTGCATTATGTTTTTAAAAAATTATAATTATATAAACACTTTTTTTGTGGAATCTTTTATTGTTGTAATAATTCTTTAACTTTCTGCATTTATTATAGTAAGAAAATATAAAATATCTTTTATAAACAGTAAAAACTTATATAGCTTTTTTATTTGTAAAATTTTCCATGAAAGAATAAAGTTGTAAATGAATAAATGGATAGCTAGAAAGAAAACCCAAAGAAAACACTTGTCTAAACATTTGTTTCACAACGAGATAAACAAGCTCATTATGAATATAATCTTGCAACATTAAGGTTATAAGCATATGCATGTTTACAGGAGCAGCTTGCATGGATCACCATGTTTGTTTTAAGAGAGCTTTTCTCTGCTCTTGCACTCATTCACTCCTGCCGAGACCTGTATTTACATATTTTTAAAAACTAATTCACTTCCAACAAAGTTGCAAGCAAATACTATTAAGTTAAGAGTTGCTAGAAAATAGAGGGTAGGATTAAAGAGCAAGGAGTTAACTAAAGACTTAAAAAGTAGGTTGTATAAATAAGGAAAACATAGAGATAGGTAAGAGTTATGCGGCTTTATTAATGTGCAAGTAAAAAAACTGAATTAACTGGAATAAAAGTTTTTATAGTATGAAGGTACAAATACAGTAATAGGATGCATCTTGGTGAATAAAAAAACCAAGCGAGAATGAGTTTTGGTTAATCAAACTAGAGATAAAAGCTTGTTTGAGAATTATGATGGTATTTGTAGAAAAAAAAAGAAATGCTACCTTACGACAATGGGAGAGTGGCTCAAGCTTGGCAGATAAAGAAGGTCTAATTACATTTACAATGTGCTTTTAGACTTTGTCTGAGAATGAGAGGATTATTATTCATCAATATAGGAATGCCGACAATATTGCAATATTTGTTTACAGTAGTTAAATGAGTTTTGTTGCCTAACAAAAATTGTAAATTTTAAGTCCCAACTTAAAATCCACAAGTCACTCCAAGCTCCAAACTGTTACAGAAGAGAGATCAGATTAAAAATCCGCTGCATGTTTAAATCAATAAAAAAGTGAAGACTTTTTATCAAAATAAGAGAATAAAGTTGAGTCGTCAGCATATAGAGCCACTTTAGATGTAAAATTTTCGTTAAGATTGTTATTGTAAGTAAGAAACAATACAGGAGCATATAAAAAATCATGTGGTACCCTTAAAGTTACTTGAAATGAAGAAGAGTATATAGGTTAAACAAAATAACTTTAATACTGTAGTTAGAAAAAAATGATTTATTAATCTCAAAACCTTTATATAAAGAAATTAATAATAGAGTGAAGACTTATCGTAAGATAGCTAGTGAGGTCAGAGTGTTTTCTAGAGTTTTCTCTACTTATTTAGCACTTAATAATAGTTTAGCAAAAATTGAAATACAGGAAAAGTTCTTTCCAAATAACTCAAAAATAAAATTATGAATTAGAGATTACTTTAGTTAATGACACTGTTGAAGACTTTCCAAAAGTCTCTAGGACCTAACATCTGATATAAGATTTAGTAAACTGAGAATAACAGAGCTTAACATCAGACAGGAACTTTTTACATTGGTTTCTTGGAATAATAAAAAGACATTTGTTCTTAAGAGAGATGTTTTTATAAAAAAGATGAAAAAAATGACTACGGTTTAAAAAAGCAACTGCTTGAGATGGTGAAAAATGTGAAATGAGGCTTGATTTAAAATTCAAGAAAAGTAATAAATGTTTTTAAATTTTTATTCCAGAAGGAATAATAGCTTTCAAGATTGGAATATATGCATACATAATACAAATACATATGGATATAAACATATATATTTCCATACTTGATAGAATGGTGTTTTGGAACAGGTAGGTTTAATTTATTAAACAAACGAAGAGGATATCGACAGTTTAAACATTTATTACAAAAATTGTTGAACGATACTGGAAGGTTATGGTGATGGTAATTCCAGGCAAGTTGACAGTTAAGGAATATAACAAGGTCACTTAATTTTAGTATATTGGAGATACAATACAGCACACTAGATTTAAAGTTATTAGATTGAAAATATATTATTTCTAAGGCTTTATTTTGGAGATGGGATAGCCTTGAGAAATTGTGTTTCTGGGATTTTCCCCATATTTGACATGCATATCTTAGACAAGATCCAAAAATAGCATGGTATATATTAGGCAAAGCTTCTAAATTTACATAATGGCAGACTTTGGCCAACATTCCATTAGATCTCCTGAGTTTTATTGTCAAGTCATTTAGATGGTCTTTGAAGGAAAGATTGGAATCAATTTTAATACCAAGATATCCACTATGTGAGATGATTATCCACTATAGGAGTTGATGATTTTTCATCAACAGAAACAATAAAAAATCACAATTATGATATTGAAAAATGAAAAAGTATTTAAATACCTTTTCAGTGTAATTAGCTTCCATATTTTGAACTTGTTTTGAATATTTTTCAACCATCGCATTCTTACTTATATCTAAGTCTTGAAACTTTAAAAGTAAAATTTGATTTTCTTCTAGAAAACTCTGGGTTACTTGATTTATAGTCTCTTTGTCTTGTTCTCCTAAATAATTTTTTTTTTTTAAACTATTTTTGTCACAATTTGAATGTATTTTGCATTAAACAATTATTGTAAAAAAATTATTTGTAATGTAGCTTTTTAAACAATATAGACATGACAAGTTAAATTCACTGGACAAGTTAAATTAAAAAAAAAAAATCTTGGTGTAACTCTTTGTTTTTTTCAGGGATTGTCTTGAATAGTTTAGCTTGAGCTTGAATAGCTTAGTTAGAGAATAAAAACATCTACTTTTATTTACATCATTCTGATCTTGTTGCTGGGATATTTTTTTTAATGATCAAATTTAATGTCTAGACATCATCTCCAAGTAGCCACAAAAAATTTTGATGGAACATAATGGTGCATTAACTTAATTTGAATATAAAAAACTTAATATTAACTAAATATTTTTTAATGTAACTCTACTATTTTCTTTAGAAAATTCATACAACAATAAAACAAACAGTAATGCAATAGTAATTATAATCTAATATAACTATAAAAAAAAACAGTAACAAAGTGGTTATTAACCTTTAAATGACTTAAGCTAATTAAAAAAAAAAGTTTTATTCTTTTTTCAATCTCTACCAGGGAAGCAACAAACAAACTTTATCGAAAACCTTCTGACAGTTTTGGTAATATGCATTACAATATGAATTTTTATTAAAAAATAACATTGTTTAGTCAAAATAATCCTCCTTAAAAGGATTGTGCTTTTGACTTTCTCCTCTAGGTTTGTATAAGTGATAGTCTAAATTTAAGGAGCCCTTTTAAAAATGCAAATGTAACAATAAAAAATTTAACTTCTAAACTACTCCAGAAAAATTGACAAAACCATTTTAAAATGTAGTAATTCTTTCACAAATATTAAAGAGCTATTGTAAACCTTGTTAAACATATTGCATTGGTCAAAAAAGTTTTGAGAAAGTAAACATTACTAATCATATTAAAGTGCATCATTCCTTACCTTTTATAATTCGATTTTCTAAGCTAATTAGTTGTTCACGAAGTATATTTGCCATTTCTCTTACTGTTTTTATGTTTTGTTCAGTTTCAACTTTTTCCAACTCAGTTTGATGTAACTTTGTGCTAAATGATTCATTTTGAACTTGCAACTCATATATAGACTTTCGTAATGAATCAATAGTTTGTAAAGCATCAGATAAAGAACGATCCTTTTGCTTCAACTCCATATCTTTTTCATTTTTCCAGTTCCGTATTTTTTCAGCTTCTTTATGAAGTTTGGAGTGCAAGTTAGAAAGACGTTCTTGATCATTTTGCAACTTTTCAGAATCTTTCTTCAAATCAATAGCTTGTTTTGAAAACTGTTGCTGCATTGGAGGCATCATATGCTTTACAGGATGTTGAATAATGTTAAGACTTTGCTTGTTAGTAGTATTCATTCGAAAACTTTCCATTATTTAGTAATAGGTGAATCCCTACATAATACAGAGAACTATACATAATTCAGATATATTTATCATATATTATAGCATTACTATAAATAAAAATCAAATTTAAAAACAAATAAAAAATAAAATCTATATAGATAATATTTAGTAAACTCATTTAATCAATTAGCAAAAACCTTATATAGTTGTTTAATAATACAATTATCTCAAACTCTGCGGCAACTAATTTTTGAGTTTTATACTTTAATGTACATATAATGTATTTATTTACAGTTTGGTCGTTTAAAATAATTTCGAATTCCCTTGTGAAATTTCGAACGTCTAAAAACAACTTTCGAACAAATCAGACATAGTAAGAGGGGGCATTACGTTTGATTTATAAAGCCGCCAATGTTGGGTGTTTTTGTTTTAAAAAAATTATATGGCAAGATGGTAACTTTAACTCCCCTCGCTTTTGGTCGGTTTTGGTAGTGCTTTTGATAACTTCTTGTTTAATAAATTCTACAACTTATATAAATAATTTTAAAAGTTGTGGACTAAAAAATAATTAGTATTCAAATTTTTAAAATTTTTAACAAATATCCTTTGCATAGTTGCGTTAATAAGTTAGATTGTACATTGCCAATGCTTGAATGTAGTTTATTATTGTTTTGGTGTCGCGATTTTCTATGAAGTTACAGTTTGCGCGGCATTTATATACAAGCAGGTTCTTTTTTTTTGGGTCTTTTCAGCAAAAAAAAACTTAGAATTGAACGTTAAAATAATCATTAAATTGAACATAAGTATAACAATAAAAATATAAAAACTTCAATAAAAATTCTTTAACGTTTGAAGATTAGTTAAATACCCTTGTGTCAAATATTATTCAACTAACTAAACATTTTCGAAGATAACTTCGATTCAAATAAGCTTCGACTAAATTTTATTTACAAAGTAGAATTATAGGCATCCATATCAAAGAAATATGGTGTTCCAAAGGAGTAAAATTCAGGAGTAGAATATGATCAAAACTTTTGTATAAAAGAGTTAGGATGTGAGTCTTCCTAAATGAGGAATCGAAATTAAATGAGGAATCGAAATCGAAATTAAATGAGAAATCGAAATGTTACATGTGGCTTTTAAACGCCTACCAACAAAACATTCATGTTAGTGGAATTATTTTCAAGATCATAATCATTTCAAGATCTTTATTTTTCAAAAGGAGTGACGATTTGAGTGAGATAGATGAAAAATAAGAAATATTTTGTTTTAAACAATATTAGATTTTTTTATCATTTTATCGTACATTAATATTTACATATTATTGGGATATTTTTAACTTAAAATATCTTTAAATCAAATTTGAAAGATAAAATAATACTCATGTAGATCTCAATCTATTCATCAATCAAATTTTGTTTAAATTAGCTTAAGGTTCAATTAAAAAGCTGGAAGAAAAGATCGTCATGAAGCGCAATTGCGTCATTACCTAACACTGAATAAAAGCAAAAAAAAACTTTAAAAAAAATAAAGTTGCTTTTGATTTTAAAATTGCTTTTTATTTAGGTGAAGATTAAAATAATGTCAAAAAATTCGCCGTAGATTCAAAGGAGAATGTCCGGCAGCAAAGTGACAGCACATTCTCCGTAAAAATTAAGGGTTTCCATAAAAATCGACAGAAAAAGTCTGTTAACCCTTTAAGCGGCAATTTTTTTTTAGACGTACATCCAAATTCGCGGGTTATTTTGAGTAAAACGCAACTTTTTACTAATACAAATTTAATATGAAAATTTTTATTTTTATTTATAAACGAAATTTGTGCTTATTAGTTCCATAGAACATTCGAGAACCGTAAAATCGAGGTTTGAAGGGTGTATGACTAATTTTAAGGTGTTACAAACTCTATAAGTAACACCTTCTCTCTGTGCGTATTATCGCGGCAGTGCTCCTTAACGCATAAAAAGGTTCTCCGTAATATTACGGCGTTTTGTCTTAAAGGGTTAAAAAAGTTACAAAACTTTCTACGTAAAATTCACGGTTTCCGCATTTTATATTTTCCATACAAGTTAAGGGAGAGCAGCAAGTCAGGCAGCAAAGAGACAGCACGTTCTCCGTAAAATTTATGGTTTCCGTATTTCATTTTTTCCGTTTAAATTAACGGGAAAACGTGAATTCAGAAAATAGACTTTACTCGTTTTGCAGAGTTTACGCTAAAGTCAAAAATAAATAAATAGAATTTATATGTGGTTATAATATATATATGTATGTATATGTAAATGTAATTCGACTGTAATTTAATATAAATGTAATTCGATGTAATTTAATATAAATGTAATTCGACTATTAAGAAGCTACTCGTATTTTAAATGATTAAAAGTTATAATATAATACAAATAAAACACAACATAAAAAAACTCAGTAGTTTTGAGTATTTAACCACTTATAAAAAATTAAAGAAAATCTATTTTAACCATATAGACCGTATGCAAAACGTGCTCTCTAAAGACTAAAAAAAATCTAAAAAATTCTCTTTTTGTTGTTGTACAACTATGAGTTACTTGGACTTGGCGTGTTTTCCAGATGAACTTCTCATATGTTAATGAAATAATTATTATTGTGATAATAGTTATAAAATTTATGAAAAATAAACTTTCATTAGAGCTTTTGTGTTTAAAAGTGATTTTGTTTTATAAAGTACGGAAATATTATAAGAGATTTTACTTTCAATGAATTGGATGTGAAACTTCCATGACAAGTTTTCATCAAGAATTACGCCTAAAAAGCTAATAGTAAATTCCCTTTTTATATCTGTTTTATTGAATAAAAGATTTGGCAGTTTAAGTGGAATATTATCAACTTTATTTTGTTTGTGGAACAGGATGAATTTAGTTTTATTTACATTTAGTAAAAGGCGGTTACTTATAAACCATTCATTTCCTTTAAATAATTCTTTATTACAAATTTAAAAAAGAATTCTCTCTGTGTAAATAAAACAGATTGGAATCGTCAGCAAACAATATAAGATATAATTTTTAACATATATATATACATATATATATGTATATATATATATATATATATATATATATATATATATATATATATATATATATATATATATATATATATATATACATATATATATATATATATATATATATATATATATATATATATATATATATATATATATATATATATATATATATATATATGTACTATATTTATATATGTGTGTGTATATATACAAGCCTTGGCGGGAGTAAATGAGTACGATAGCGGAGATGGCAAGCCATGCGAGCTATTCCTCTAAACTGTATTTTACGAGAGCTTTTAGTTTTTGCACAAGCAAAAAGCTGTTTTTTTATATAAAAATTGCTTATTAAATACTAAATTTGGTTTTATACTTGTTACAAGTTTGTAACGTTAATGTTACAATATATGCTTAATAAGCGTCGTTTATTGCGTCGTGAAAAATTCTTTAAGTAAATTTTTGTTGCAAAAACCAAGTAAATACCAAGTAAATAATAAAAAACCAAGTAAATACCAAGCCTTTTAAAAAGTACTGCAGTTAATTATCTAATTAATTAACTTTTTTTTTCATAAAATTGACTTTGTGTTTTCCATTTTAGTTTCAATGATAATTATACTTTTGAGAGAAAAAATTATGCTTTTGCGAGAGCTTCAAATTACTCCTGTAAACCGATTTAGGGGAGTGTGGGCGTGAGCATCCCGCCGAGGCCTATATATATATATATATATATATATATATATATATATATATATATATATATATATATATATATATATATATATATATATATATATATATATATATATATATGTATGTATGTATGTATGTATGTATGTATGTATGTATAAATAATAAATAAAATTTCACTTATTAGTAAATTATGTTTTATTTATTTACAATACTATAATATCCTTTTCTTGTTAATTGAATTTTTTAATGTTTATATTGTTCAGTGTTTTTTTTTATATGCTATACAAATGTAACACTAATTAATATGAACTTTAAAAAACTCGAATCATAAGAAACGGTTTTTATACCTACAAATCCTATATAATATAGGAATAAAATTTTCAGAAGTATCTATGATAGGTACTTCTGGTAAAGATAGGTTCTAAAGCTTTAGACTCTTTTTTATTAATGATAGAACTTATTTTTAGATCTACCTAAAAATAGGTTCTATCTTTAATAAATATCTATATCTACTTATAACAATATCCTTAATCTTAATTAAAGAAAATATTTTGTGAATGCACTTCCTTAAAAACATATAACACTTTAGTTTCAGTAAAACCAATATAAATATATTAAAATCTCTAACTTGAAACTATATACGTGTATAATTTCTCCTCATTAAAAAGAACTATGGCGCTCTGTAAATTAGAGACTATACTAAAGTATACTAAAATATAAGGTTAAATCCGTTTAAAGTTACGGAGCTTCTCCTTATCATAAATACGGACAAAATTATATAAAATGATGTGATTATTTCAAAAGTCTTAAAAGTATAGGTAAAAAACCATAGTTTTTTGAAAACGGATTTTTTACCTCTCCTTCCAAAGTAAACTATTTTTAAGTTATAGTTTGTTTTTTGAGGAATATACTGGTTCGGTATTTGACACATTTGAGTAGGGTGAATTTTAGTTTTAAAGTTTTTTTTTTAATTTTTTTTTTTGAATCAACAGTCGGATACTTTTAAAGGATTCGCCTCTCTCATTTAAGGTTAGGTCAGGTTTTCCTGCTACTGGTAACATATAACCCAGTACAACCTGCTCCATGTCCTGCTGCCTTGTAGGATACGCTTTTTTAGGCAAAGGCTAGGAGAAGTTAACTCCGAATTAAAACACCCCCTGCCTTGGGGCTCTTGGTTGAGTAAAGGCTAGAGATGGTGTCTCGATAAAAATACTCATCTTGGGCAGATGTTACATGCATCTAGCTGCTGTCTTGTAGAAGGCCTCCTAGGCAAAGACTTAAGGGGTAAACAGATTCTATCTGTTGACCAGCCTCGCACCCCTTCCTCATCTATTAGGCTGGCGCAGATGTATTTTTAATACATTGTTTCCAGTTTAGGATGTTGAACGCTGGATCTTCTTGACTCAATGCGTGGGTATTGCTTGTGTCTCTATTTTTATGACTGGGCAACTCATTCTATTATCTCCTAATGAGGGTACAGCTCTAAAACTCAGTTTTATGGTTCTGAGGCCGGCTGGTAGTCAGGTTTCCCGAACTCTGTGGTAGCTCTCAGAGAGGCTGATTCCATCAACAGCCGAAAAATATCAGAGTACTAACAGTGCCATGTTGCGCATGGATGGTGTCCCTGTTTGTACTTTTGGTGTGCATTGCAGAGGCCACATTTGGAG